TTGGTTGGTTGTATGTTTTCCGTTTGACATTCTAATCAGTTAGTTTTAAAAATAGCTATTTTTTTGTCTGTGAATGTTATTGGAAGGAAGGTTGGGGAGAGGGAGGGTAGATGAGGGGTGGGGGTGGGGAGGGAGGAGAACGGAGGTGAAAAAATGTCAAGGGATCGAGAAACAAGGAAATCACTACGCTTTTTTGCAGCGCTGGCAACAGCAGTCACCTTTGTGGTCAACAATTTTTACTTTTTTATACCGAAATAAAAATTATTAAAGAAGAACGAGAAGTAAATAATTTGATTTATTTTTTAGCTTAAATGTTTCTTTGGTTTTTGCTTTCAAGATAAAAAATTGTCAGGAGAATACCTTGGAAAACATTTAGTTTTTACACTCTGCTTAATAATGTACTTCCTAATTACTGTGGTTCAATTTTTGCTTTATAACTATCTTTTGTCTATTTAAATGAAACATCAAGAGTAAAGGAAGAGAAAACGGAATTTTTTCGGGATATTAGCTAAAATGATCTGTGAGAGAAAATTTTTGGTTTCAGCTGACGGCCCAAAGAAATGTTTGATTATTCAGTTAAGAAACTGAGAAAGTTTATTTTACTGTAGCTGATCAACTTCAGAGTAATTTTTGGTTAAATTTTTGGGTACACTGAAAAAACAGCACAAAAAATTTGCATTTGATTGTGCGGAAACAGACTATGAGAACTTAAACTAATCAAAGGTCTTGTTTGCTCTTCAAATGGTTTTGTTTTAGTCAAAGAAAAGCGATCTGTGATAATAGTATTAACAAGAATAACAATTTTGATAATAAAATTAATAGTAGTAATAATGATAATAGAAAGAAATTTTCTGTTATAAATATTTTTTTGCTTTATTTGAAATTTTTTCGATTTTTATTGCATATTGGCTTATCAGGAAAGCATACCTGTCGAGGGTTCAATTTTTTTTTGCTTATTTGCTTTTTCCTTTACACATAACAGTTACGTAATTGAAATTGCATTTATAGACACTGATCTGTATATATGAGTATGTTATTTGAAAATATACTTTGCATTCACGTCAAATATTTTTTTTTAAAAAAATAAACGGTGACTAATTCCTTTGGCAGGTGTAGTGTCAATGTTTTTTCAATAAATATTTAAAATAATTCTGCGCCAAAATCTCGTAATCGTCGTTGTAATTACCGCTATCGTTGTAGTTGTCATTATCATCATTACTGTTCCCATCTGCATTGAAAAAAAAAACTGCTCATTGGCATTACTATTATTATCATCATTATCAAAGTTTTTAAGGCGGGTTTTAGTCAAAAAACTGAACTGAGATAGAGAAAACGGAACTTTATGGCTATTAAAAGTAAAATTTGAATACCTCTGACTGTTTTCAGGATCAGCGTGTTTGCGAAGGAGAGTTCACTGAAAAAATTAAGCTTCAAAGAAATCCTACTTTATTGGATTATTTTCTGCTCACCGCTCTAGAAAGGGGTTTGTTTTCTGGAACTGTTGTATCTGTTGTTGTAATAATGTTATTTCGTGTCACGAAGTCGGTAGAACCAGAACTACTGGCAACAACATCTGATTATTCTATTTTTGACTTGGCTGAAGATGCCGGTTTTCTGTTACTAAATCCATCGGATCTAGTATTTGAATCAACCAACTGTAGTACCAACTACTATGACTATATAATTTCTGTTGCGAAGCCAAACGACGACAACTATCAACTTTATTTGGCAAAACTGAACGAGCAAACAAACGTTGAATGGTATGAATCGGTTACTGTTTCAAGGAAAGTGATTCTAAATTCTGAATTACTGGATTATGACCTAACACTAATTATTATCGCTGCATTGGTGTGGAAATCAAAAATAGCAAGAAGCAAAGTAAGGAATATTATTTTGTGTTAAAATTTTACTTTATCGTATGTTTTTTCTCATCTGGGAGTAGTGAATGGAAATATATTTTTAGTTGAATGTTGAAGTTGCATGGAAGATTTTAACAAAAAGAGGATGAATGAGACCAAAATTACAAGTTATAACATTTGCTCGCGGAAAAGATGGAATTCAACATTTACTTTTTTGTGCGGTGTAGTTTTTTTTTTTCAAACAAAGAGGGAGACAAAAAAGTCATTTGGTAATTTAAACATAGTCATTTTTGGTTTTTCTTTAACGTTCTCTCACAACACGTCATTTTTGTCGCTTTTTTCGGAAAGTGAGGGTGGGAGTGTAACGGAAATTTGTTTGCGTTTTCGTTGATTTTGTTTTTCAATTTTGGTAAACGGATGAGTGGTGATGAGGGAGTGTCTGAAAAAGGGCAAAAGAGACGAGAGAATGAAAAGAAAAATTTAAGCTCAAAGCAAGAAATTTTTTTCATATTTCATTTACTTGTCATTGAGAAAAAAATTTATTTTATGCATTTCCTCTGGTAGGAAAAAAGTTTAAGCTAGTTTTTTTTTGATCCGAAGGAAAGGCATGCGGAAAACAAGGGTACAGAAAACTGAATGAAGTAGTGAATCGTAAAGAAACAAATTTAAGTTTTAAGTTTTAAAAAGATTAAAAGAACATTTTTTCGCGAAATATTTTACAGACATCCAAAAGAAAATTTTGGGTTTTTTCTAGTGGTGTAGAAAGAGGGAGGGAACGGAAAGGGGAATAGGTTTAGTTAATGAACAGTAAAAAAAACTGATGAGATATACGAGATTATTTTAATTGACGTCGACAGATTATTTTTACGACAAATTTATCAGTTCGTGCTTTGATCTGAAAAAAAAAAAA